GCCGTGCCCCTGTGCCCTGCCGCCGAGCGGGGTCCTTGCCCCGCGGGCACGCTGCTTGCCCCAGCCCCTGCTCCCCTCTGACTGCCTCTTCCTTTCCTAGTGCTGGTCCTTCTGATCCTCACACTGAAGCGACACCACAAAAGCCACCTGACATCTGAGGATGATGAGGACATGAGGGACAATGTCATCAAATACAACGACGAAGGGGGTGGCGAGCAGGACACAGAGGCCTATGACATGTCAGCCCTGCGCAGCCTCTATGACTTCAGCGAGATCAAAGGCGGCGATGGAGGCGGGGGGCCGGGAGAGGGGGGCCCCAGCGGAAACCCGGCCTCTGAGCTCCACGCCCTCCCGCAGTGGGTGCAGAGCCCAGACCTGGACTTCTCCGTGTTCAGGGACTATATCTGCAAGAAGGTGGAGCAGGCGGACGAGGACCTCTCCGTGCCGCCGTACGACTCGTTCCAGACCTACGCCTTCGAGGGCTTGGACTCCCCCATGCCCTCCCTGAGCTCCATCAACACCTGGTCCAGCGGCTCAGAGCAGGACTTCTCCTACCTGGGGGCCTGGGGGCCGCGTTTCCAGCAGCTGGCAGCGCTCTACGCTGGGCGCAGGGGCGAGGAGGACAGCGAGGAGTCCTAGCCGTCCCGCCACCCCCCCGCGAGGCTCCCGGTGCCTCCTGGACCAGGCTTCTGTGCCGCACGGGGACAGCATGCGCCTCCAGCCGGGCTCCATGGCTGCCAGAGCGGGTCTGCACCGCGGGGCCGGGGAGCACCGGGCTCCTTGGCGGCTGCCTCCCATCCAGGGCACCCCTGCACCCGCACAGCCAGGCTGGAGTGCCCAAAGGAGCCCCCGCCGCCATCCTCATCTCCTTAGTACCAGTCTCCATTAAAGTACTACGCATTAATTTAAGGAAGAGAAAACCTAATTCAAGAGAGCTTGGAGGGGGTTCTCCCCCACAAATTATCATTTAAATAGATCCGTTCAGTGAGCCCAGTTCAGGAGAGGAAGAGCAAACCAGGAGCCTTTTGTTGTCTGAACTGGTTTAGTCACTCGAGTCAGAGCATTTGAAGTGCTTTGATTTCTTTAGGAGCTTTCCTTGCAGAGGGAAATAAGCTTTTAACTTCTGTTCAGCTTTCCCCCTCCCTTTAGGTTCACTCGCTTTTTGGAGTCCTCCTTCTCCCTGCACAGGGGCTCCTCTGCATCGCCCGGCTGCTGGCACAGTGCCGGGGGGAGCGTGCTGCGCTGGGGATGCGTGCGCTGGATGCGGGCTCCAAGGTCGTGTCCTGCGCAGAGCAGCAGCCGCGCTAGGGTTCAAGCACGCTTCGCCTCCACGCTGCAGTCACTGCGCCTCTCAGTTCTCAGCCCTTTCTCACGGTTATCAGAGATGCTTGGGATTTGGAGGGCCTCTCCCTCCCTGCACAGCAGGCGCTGGCTGTGAGGTCCTGGTGTGCCCCACGGCTCCAGTGATGGATGGGGACATCCCGCCCGCTGCTGAGGCCGTGGTGCTGTGGCTGCAGCCA